GCTTCCCCCAGGTGCCAGGGTCAGCCCGCGACATTTCAGGAACAAATCTCTAGTATTCTGTATGTACTGCTGGGGGCATCTTCACACCAAATTTTTAAAAATTCAAATTTAACTGGGAGTCTCACGTTTTCATCTTCTGGTTTCTGAACCTGGTGACCCTTGAAAGGACAAAGCGGGGAGAGGTGGATCTGCAGTCTGGTCTCCATGTGCCTGATTACAGATCCGTTCTGCCCAGTGTCTCGGAGCTCTGCCTCCTTAAATGCTTTTGGTCAGAAACTGGATGTGCGGGCCGGGGAGATAGCTCGGTGGTCTCAGTGCCTGCCTCGCAAGAGCAAGGACCCAGGTTTAATCCCTGGTACTGCATGCCATGCCAGTCCCACACCGAGCCGGCCATCAAAACCCGGACTGGTAGTGTACGCCTGTAAATCCCAGCGCTAGGGAGACTGAGACAGGAGGATTGCTGTAGGCAGCTAAATTAGACAGAACTACTATAGGCAGTTAGGCAGAGCCAGGCCCTCAAGGAGATAGCACGGAAAAAAGGCACCTTACAACTATAAGGGGGACGGGTGCTCCCGCTGCAGGGCAGACCTAAAGACCAAAGACGAAACAAATGCTCATCTCCCTAAGAATAAGCATCCAGGATTGATCATTACCCTGAGGAAGCCAGGAAGAGTCACTAAGCCAACCACTACCCGCTACTGACTAAACTCCTGTTCTACTTTCATGTCCACTTGCCACGTGACTTTCCTCCCCATTTGATCCTGGATTTAACCAATTTTACCTGAGCAATGGTGCTTGTAATCTCATTGGTTGACCATAGTTTCGTCCCACCTCATGCCCACCTAAGTGAGTTCTCATGTTCTCCATTTAGACCCGCCTCACCACATGGTTTTACTCTGTAAAAATCCCTGGGAATGGTAGCTTCCCGGGGCAACCCGCTTGGGTCCCCCTCCAGTCCCTCTCTTGGACAGGAGCTTTCTTTCCCCCAACAAATATGTTCTTCTCTTATCTTCCATTGTTCCTAAAATTTATTCTTCAGTTTTAGAGAACACAAACTTGGCCCAGGTAACTGTCAGGTCAGGAGTTTCATTTCTCCATCTGAGAAGGTCTACTAGATTGAACTGCTTAGCAAGACCCTGTACCAAATAAATAAAGGTTTTTTAAAAAATTAGAAACTGGATGTGGCCAGGAGTGGTGGCACACACCTGTAATCCCAGCACTCAGGAGGCTGAAGAGGGATCTCAGTGAATCTGAGGTCAGCCTGTGCTACCCAGCAATACCCTGTCTCAAAAACCAAAAGAAAGAGAAAAAGAAAGAAAAAGACAGAAGAAGCCAGCGTCAGGGCAGCTCTGGACCACTTGCACCCTGAGGCCAGGGGCACCACATTGCAGCCCCGGGCCCCACTGCCACACTGCGGTCTGGGAAGGCACTTGAGATTCAAAGACATGCTGGAAGTAATGATCCAGGCAGGACCTTCCAAGCAGAGGTCAGTCAATGAACCCGGTGCGTCAGAGGACCACAGAGGCCAGCTGAGCTCCGAGCAGGGACAAACGGGTTTCCAAGGACAAGCGCTAAGCCTGCGCAGCTCAGGCCTTACCTAGGAGTTGCCGGAAACAGGGCGGCAAGCGCACTGTCCTCCAGCGCCTGCTCCAAATTCAGGGCCCACACTGCTCAGGACCGGGGGTAGGCGCTTCTGCAACAGGGAGGGAAGCTGTTCTGCGCACCTGCCTCCCCAGGGCGGGACTCTGGCGGCTGGGCAAGGCCCCTGGGGCTCAGCGGACGTTGTGGAGAGTGTGCTGAGTGGATCCGCGGGTCCTCAGGGCCCAGTCCCCTCATTCCTGGTGGGCGAGTCTCTTCCCAGCTTGGAGCCCATAAGCAAAACCCTGAAAAGTGTGTGTG